CAATACCTAGGCCTGCAGCAGGGTGAGTCAGATTATGAATAAAATAATACCAAGGCCTGCAGCAGGGTGAGTCAGATTATGAATAAATCAATACCAAGGTCTGCAGCAGGGTGAGTCAGATTATAAATAAAATACCAAGGCCTGCAGCAGGGTGAGTCAGATTAAAAAATAAAACAATACCAAGGCCTGCAGCAGGGCGAGTTAGATTATAAATAAAACAATACCAAGGCCTGCAGCAGGGTGAGTCAGATTATAAATAAAACAATACCAAGGCCTGCAGCAGGGTGAGTCAGATTATAAATAAAACAATACCAAGGCCTGCAGCAGGGTGAGTCAGATTAAAAAATAAAACAATACCAAGGTCTGCAGCAGGGTGAGTCAGATTATAAATAAAACAATACCAAGGCCTGCAACAGGGTGAATCAGATTATAAATAAAACAATACCAAGGCCTGCAGCAGGGTGAGTCAGATTATAAATAAAACAATACCAAGGCCTGCAGCAGGGTGAGTCAGATTATAAATAAAACAATACCAAGGTCTGCAGCAGGGTGAGTCAGATTATAAATAAAACAATACCAAGGCCTGCAGCAGGGTGAGTCAGATTAAAAAATAAAACAATACCAAGGCCTGCAGCAGGGTGAGTCAGATTAAAAAATAAAACAATACCAAGGCCTGCAGCAGGGTGAGTCAGATTATGAATAAATCAATACCAAGGTCTGCAGCAGGGTGAGTTAGATTATAAATAAATCAATACCAAGGCCTGCAGCAGGGTGAGTCAGATTATGAATAAATCAATACCAAGGTCTGCAGCAGGGTGAGTCAGATTATAAATAAAATAATACCAAGGCCTGCAGCAGGGTGAGTCAGATTATGAATAAATCAATACCAAGGCCTGCAGGAGGGTGAGTCAGATTATAAATAAAATAATACCAAGGTCTGCAGCAGGGTGAGTCAGATTATGAATAAATCAATACCAAGGTCTGCAGCAGGGTGAGTTAGATTATAAATAAATCAATACCAACGCCTGCAACAGGGTGAGTCAGATTATAAAATAAATCAATACCAAGGCCTGCAGCAGGGTAAGCCAGATTATAAATAAATCAATACCAAGGCCTGCAGCAGAGTGAGTCAGATTATAAATAAAACAATACCAAGGCCTGCAGCAGGGTGAGTCAGATTATAAATAAAATAATACCAAGGCCTGCAGCAGGGTGAGTCAGATTATAAATAAAACAATACCAAGGCCTGCAGCAGGGTGAGTCAGATTATAAATAAAACAATACCAAGGCCTGCAGCAGGGTGAGTCAGATTATAAATAAAACAATACCAAGGCCTGCAGCAGGGTGAGTCTGATTATAAATAAATCAATACCAAGGCCTGCAGCAGGGTGAATCAGATTATGAATAAATCAATACCAAGGCCTGCAGCTGAGTGAGTCAGATTATAAATAAAACAATACCAAGGTCTGCAGCAGGGTGAGTCAGATTATAAATAAAACAATACCAAGGTCTGCAGCAGGGTGAGTCAGATTATAAATAAAACAATACCAAGGTCTGCAGCAGGGTGAGTCAGATTATAAATAAATCAATACCAAGGTCTGCAGCAGGGTGAGTCAGATTATAAATAAAACAATACCAAGGTCTGCAGCAGGGTGAGTCAGATTATAAATAAATCAATACCAAGGCCTGCAACAGGGTGAGTCAGATTATAAATAAAACAATAGAATACTGAGGTCTGCAGCAATATGATACATTGTTTGTTACTCTATTCTTTCTCTTCTCCACAGAGGTGCAACTACCCGTCATATGAATGTGGTTACTGTATATGATATACAGAACAAATTTATTGGTTAGTATTGTCATTTTTGTAGCTGGTTTCACCACCTTAATTATTATCTCTCTGCTAGTCTCATGCTGTATGTCAAACCAGTGTTGCCTTTTGCTGCAGTTCCTGCAGTTCTGCTCAGCATTTCAGTGATAAGAGATTTCTAAGAAGTTTCCAAGAGGAATCACTATGTCCCTATTATTAAATTCAAATCATATTTTGGAGTTGCATCGTATACTGAGTGAGTGTGCTACCCCTGTACTTTACTGTAATGAACATAACACTAAATCAGAATACAGTGCAGACAATATGTATTTGCAGCATGAACATTTCAATGTAGTTACCACGATGACAAAAATCTCTCACTCAAAATTAACGGCTCGATACATAGCCTAGTGTTTTATGATGTCGTCTATAACGATGTTGTTCATATTTTCAGCGTACTCTTCACCAATGCCCGAGGTGCTTGACGTACTGTGTGAATGGGGATCGTTGTACGTACTAGCTGGAGACCACAAGGTTTGTCTTGCTTCTAATATGAAGTAATTGAAAATACTTGCATCAGGGAAACTGGGTTTGACATGTAGGGATGATATTATCACTGAAATCATGCACATTTCAGACCACAACATTTTTAAACAACATATATTTGTGTAAAACAAATGTATTCAGATCCTAAGTTTCAGTTGTACTAAGTCAGCACTGAGTAAAATAAACTAGCCTTTCGTGTTTTACTCATGGGTTTTACAATGCTTTTCTGTGAAAATCCTAACTGGTGATGTTGAAAATAGTGACGTCATTGGCAGTCAAGTATAAACTGGAGTCCCATCTTGGGTGTAACGTTAATATCATCATATCACGAAGCTCCATGGGAACAGCACTATTATTGTGTGCGTGAAACCTGCTGATGCTAGATCATATATCACAGCAAATGTTGTGTTTGTCTGTATTTATTTTCAACTCCCCCAAAAAACAATTCACTATTCACTGAATTGACCTAAAATTGTTCTATTATTTCGGGCACAATAAATTTATAGAGTTTTTACAGTACATGTGCCTAGACCACAAAACATGTTTTAGTTTGTTGGGACCATAAAAACATTCTTCAGTATATGTTTATTAATTCGTGTATTCCTGCTGCAAAGAGAAGTTTTGGGAGGGATAATTGTTTCTTTCTCTTATGTTTTTCATTTCTGTATTCTGCCAGTTATATCACTTACAAGAGAAGGACACACAAACCAAACTAGAGATGTTATTTAAGAAGAACTTGTATGTGATGGCTATCAAGTGAGTGTCAAGTATTTTTTGTGGTTCTCACTTTATGTGCATTTCAAAAACAATAATGAAAATGTAATTTGTTGAGGATTCAAACTTTACACATACATCGTACATTCTATCGTACATGTGCAAATGCTTTTTTTCTATGATTCGATTCAAGATGGCCAGCTGGCAGCCATTTTAAAAGACCACAATGGTACATGGAACTGTATAGCAATAAAGAAAATGTAATTTATTGAAGATTCAAACTTTACACATACATTGTACATGTGCAAATGCTTTTTTTCTATGATCCGATTCAAGATGGCCAGCTGGCAGCCATTTTAAAAGACCAAAATGGTACATGGAACTGTATAGCAATAAAGAAAATGTAATTTATTGAGGATTCAAACATTACACATACATCGTACATTCAACCGGACATATACAAATGCTTTTTAGTCCCCGTTCAGGCGCAGCCTGAAAAGGGGACTGTATAATTCAGGTTATGTCCATTTTTCCATCTCCAACATTTTCTTAGAAATTCTACAGCAGATATCAGTGAAACTTGGCAGGTTGATGAACAAGTCTTCTCCAAGTATGCACGTAATTTTTTTTCCAGATCTGAAAATCCCAAGTGGGTCTTTTTTACAATTTTCATCAAAAATTACCTCTCCCGGCAACATTGACAGAACGTCTGCGCATGCTCAGAATAAATTAATTACTGTAAAATACTTAATTTTTGCTTGCAAAATTTTTTTGCT